ATTTCAGTTGTTTTGGTAAGATTGCAGTCAGGTGTTGCTTAAATCTGCTGCTGGCGTCGGACAAGCAGAAAGAAAGAAGGAAGCAGCCGATGGGGAGAAATCAAGACAGCTATCACTTCCTCTGTGGTTGTTATTTCAGCGTTGGCGGCCTGAGCTAAAGTCCGGTCCAGCTGCAGAGGTTTCAGGCCCTGTGCAGTGTGACGGCAGTCTGCCCGGGCGCCTTCAGTAGACAGTCACATGGTGTTTAAGGACCGCCTCACGGGTGTCAGAGCAGGTAAAACACCTGCTCATCAGGTGAATAAATGTGATCTCCTCTCTGTCCCGTCTAGCGGCTCTGGGGCCTCCCAGCAACGTCACCCTCGCTCCTGCTGGAAGCGACTTGGACGTGGTCGTCACCGACCCGCTGACCAGCAACAACACCTCCATGAGGGAGCACGTCCCCAACCTGTACTACCACGTCCAGTACTGGGAGCGCCAGGCTGATGGGCAGGTAGGAAGCTCCTCCCACTTCAGTGTTACCTTTTCTCCTCGTGTGTGTGTGTGTGTCCGTGTGTGTGTTTATTCTCGCCTCCCCAAGACGTTTCGGTGGAGAACAGACGTATTTCCTGTGTGAATCTTGCCATACTTCCTGCCGCACTTCCTGCCAGCTGGCTGCAGTTGAGCAGCGAGCTGAAAACTGGTTTGATGAGGAAGAAACGGGTCACTGCAGCACGTCCCAAAATAAGCCGAGCGCGTGATGAGCGAGTCGATGATTAGGGTGAACGCCACACAAACACGACATGCACGGAGGAATCGGGCGCCACCGTGTCAGACAGCTCAGAGCCTCACACAGAAACACGGGAACCTATCAGAGCCCACCACATCTGCAGAAGGACCCGCCCCCTCGGGTCAGCTGACTGACTCGGACTGTACAAAGGCGGTCGAGTGAGTAGACGGGACACGTGAGCGTCTCAGGAGAGTACGGCCTGTGTGTTTGATAAAGGTGACGATGATGATGAAGACGTGGTGCAGCCTCAGTGTTTGTTCCTGAGCACAGATCAGCTGCAGTGATCATGTCTGTGAGAGCACGAACGTGTTCAGCACCAAACTCACAGGAAACCACACAGACGTCACGTTTACACGCACACACAGACACACGCACACACAGACACACGCACAGACAGACACACACACGCACACAGACACAGACACGCACACACAGTCCTGTTTGCAGTCTGTCCTGATTGGCTGCAGTCAGGCTGACTATTACAGGACTGATGATGATGATGTCTGACTGCATGTTGATGCTGGTGCGTGGCGGTCCGCTCAGAGTGATGCTCTCTGCCGTTACCCCTCTGACCTTTGCCCCTCCCCCTCAGGCCTCGCCTCATAAGCAGCTGAGGATCAACACCACCATGGTGACGCTGCCGGGCTTGAAGGCGTGGACCTGGTACTGTGTGAGCGTGCAGTCTCGCGACGACTTCTACTCGAAGACCAGCGACTTCACGGTGCCGCACTGCATGCAGACCGAAGGTAACGCCGTCACTCTCACTAAGCTTGGCGCTCTGCTTCCTGCAGCTGTGACAGCACAGGCACTCGCTCTCTCGCACTCGCTCTTTCGCCCTCTCTCTCTCGCCCTCTTTCTCGCTCTCTCGCCCTCTCTCTCTCCCTCGCTCGCTCGCCCTCTCTCTCTCGCCCTCTCTCTCTCGCTCTCTCGCCCTCTCTCGCTCGCCCTCTCTCTCGCGCCCTCTCCCTCGCTCGCCCTGTCTCTATCTCTCGCTCGCTCGCCCTCTCTCGCTCGCCCTCTCTCGCTCGCTCGCCCTCTCTCTCGCTCGCCCTCTCTCTCGCACCCTCTCCCTCTCTCGCCCTCTCGCTCGCTCTCCCTCTCTCGCCCTCTCTCGCTCGCTCTCTCTCTCGCCCTCTCTATCTCCCTCTCTTTCTCTCTCTCGCCCTCT